TATATATGATTTTCTGATTGACCACTTTTGTTTGTTCTTTGTTCATCTCAACCGATCACTGGGGGGAAATGGGGTTCTCAACCACCTTTTCCTTTAATTTTTTGGTTTATACAAACAGGATGTCGACCAAATTTATTATATTTTTCAAATAAACCGCTCTATGGTATTAGAGTAGGTATTAATACGCCTTGTTGATCTGTCACGCGTTGACCTCAAGGCATCTGTCTTTTCACATTGGTGGCGGTATAACACCTGTTTTGCCCTCATTTCAACGGCAGCAGTCGAGAAGCTCAGAGTGGTAACTTCATTATACTTTTAAATTACTAAAATTTTTAATTAATCATTACAATAATGCTACCTAAAGTCAAAATAAAATCTTAATTATTGATTTACTGTTGTAAGTGCATCTTTGATCTCTTAGTTCTTCTGCACATTAATTGTGTGTTTTTTTTATATAAAAATTTTTTATATGAATTTTTTTATATACTTGTGCAATTACCACATGTCTTTTGCTGTGCTAAGTTTGTGAAAATTGTTAACTATACTTAGTTCAATTTATTGTTCATACAACATAATTTTACAATGTCCATTGTCGTAAGCTTCTTTACAATTTTTATATCATTGACGGCTACATATCTTTTTGAGGTAACACAGTTAATAACTTTTCATTGGATGTTAGGTTTTTCATATTGTTCTTTTTAGGTTAACTGATGATGCTATCAAATTGGATAGCGAAACGTTTTCAATAAATAGATGAAGTAGCCATCAGTATCAGTATCTTTTGATAGTTGACACGACAGTCACTCGACACTGAGGAGTAGGCAGATTGAGACCTCAGTGCCGAGATACAGTTCTTGTATTTATAATACAGAACACGATACTGGTACGTTTTGAGTGAGGGGAGTAGGCAGATTGAGACCCCGAACTCGAACCGAACCGTATCCCTCTTGATAATGGCTCCAAAATGGGAGCCGAAACGTCGAGCGTTAAATTCTCAACGCGGTTCTTCCCGAGAACCTAGTGATTTTCATTCATCTGACCGCGGAAATCCCGAACATATATATATATATATATATATATATATATATATATATATATATATATATATATATATATATATATATATATATATATATTATTTGTAGTCTCAGCAATTGGTCTGTATGAAATAAAACTCTATTTGTTATTTCTCAATATTTCGTACGATTTTGTGTCTTCTTCAGGAGAAAACTGTAAATTTATTATAGTTATTATATGTAAACAAAATGAATATTTCAGTACTTACAACTTAAGATTAAAAATTTAAATTTTGATAACAAATCCAATTTAAATAAATAGCATTTAAATATGTTATCAAAATTTAAATTTTTAATCTTAAGTTGTAAGTATTGAAATATTCATTTTGTTTACATATAATAATTATAATAAATTTACAGTTTTCTCCTGAAGAAGACACAAAATCGTGACGAAATATTGAGAAATAACAAATAGAGTTTTATTTCATACAGACCAATTGCTGAGACTACAAATAATATTTAACACAGTACGGTCGAGAATAATTTGATATATATATATATATATATATATATATATATATATATATATATATATATTGTATTTTAAAGTAATACTGGCATATACATTTTTAATACATAATAAATACAAATATAGGGGAAGGTGGGGGAATGGTGCGCACCTAAGCGAGAATCGTTGTGGTGGTCAACTCTTAAACATAAAAAATAAAATAAAAACGTTATCTGATACCCTAATTATTCTACTTTCAGTATGCACTATAATAGATATTGAATTTCTTAACATAATCATATATAATTAGAAAAAGTAAAAAATTGCATTTGCGCACCGTTCCCCACCCCATGGGGTAACTGTGCGCACAGGGTGGGGAACAGTGCGCAGTAGTTTGGAATATACAAGTACCTAATAATACAGTGGTATAAAAACAAATTCACATGCAAGAACAAATATTTATTGTACGAGTGATTATATACCTATAATGTTAAGTAGGTATCTGTTTAACCTTGACAAAAGTCGCAAATGTATTGTTCGGGGGCATCTTTACCGGTACATGCCGCGTGGTTCCATAAGCCACATGCAACACACCGGTACCATAGTTCGCTTTTTCCATGTTCTCCACATATGCCACATAATTCAGTCCGCACGTCAGGTTCTGCATCAAATGGAACATAGTTGGGGTTGATATCGTCTACTTCATCATCGTCACAAATGTCACTATCGTCTATGTCAGATACCTCTGATGATTCAGGCGTTGCTGGTTTCTTATTTCTCCCTCTTTTAATTTCCGGAGACTGACATATGCGTTTTTTTACTTTTTTTGCAACATTCTCTTTTGCCGTTATTTTTCTTGTAGTGGTTCCGTAGAAGGAGTGAGGTGGGATCGAGAAATAAGCATTCTCGATTTCATCTTCCTCGTCACGTTCTTGTGCATCAAGTTCAGGTGTTGGAGCCCTCTTCATTTTCTTATTATCTTTCTTAATATTGTTCTTTCCTAATGTTTTGACACTTTTTAATTTCATGTTTTTTTTCACGTCTTTTTCCCTTTTCTTTGCTTGAGCTTGTTCTAATCGTTCTTTTAGGGGTGTGCTAGTCAATATTTCAGAGTGTTGTTTCGAACGAGACACTGTTTTTACTCTTCCTTTTTCTTTTCTCCTTGGAATAGGTGCAAATTGGAAGAATGAATTATTTAATGTAGATGTCGATGGTAGATGGTTGTGTCCAGACTTAGATGTAGATGGTAGATGATCTTGTTCAGCGGTAGATGTACATGGTAGATGACCTTGAATAGGTAGATCCTGCTGCTGTTGTTTTGGCATATGAGCTGTCTGTCTATCTTCACCGTCTGAATTTTCACTAGGTTCGGGTGTTGCCGGATTAGGAATTTTTTGTAGATTTGGCTGAGATGCAAGTGTTAATAAATTAGCGCTACGTTCGGGAGAACCTTCTACTACAAACTGTCTCATTTCGTTGGCCGGAGCGAAATCATCTTCGTTGAATTTGTTAGGGTCAAATGGCCTTATTCCAGCAGAACGAAATCCCGAAACTGCTTTCTCCATCGATGCGACTTTTACGAACGCTTTATTTAACAGCTCAGCTACGTCATATTCAGTGATCTTTTCATGGCCTGTTGTAGTTAAATAAATATCATACTCCCTGTATAGCGCATTTTTTAAAGGACCAAAGAAGGATAGGTCAAGGGGTTGAAGGTGATGGGAAGTATGTGGCGGAAGGGACACCATATGAATATGATTTGACTTACAGAAATCGTATGCCTCTATGGATATATGGCTTGAATGGTTGTCAAGGATAAGGAGAATCGGGTCATTTAAAGTGGGATTTGCCTGTTTTTCGAAGTGCATTAACCAATCAAGAAAAAGTTCAGAATTCATCCATCCATTTTTTGAACATTTATAGTTAGCACCAGTTGGCCCATTTTTCTGCAGCGCAGGAGCCATTCTCTTTCTGGGATATATCAGCATGGGCGCGATATAATTTCCTGTGGCACTCATGCAAAATACGGCTGTAATGGTCCTCCCTCTTTCACCTGAAATAGCAGCTCCTACTTTTTTTACACCCTTACGTCCATAAACCTTCGGGCACTTCTTCTGTACAGTGGTTACACCCGTCTCGTCCATATTATATATCCTGTTTGCTTCAAATTTAAATTTTTGTAAAACTTTCTCGAGATTTGAATAAAAAAGTTTTAACTCGTCCGCATTAAATGCAGCAATTCGATTAAGACTAGTCCCCTCAGGCTGTCTCAATGATATTTCAGGATTTCGCTTGAGAAACCCATACAACCAATCTTTGCCTGCTAACTGAGTTTGTTTATTGAAATTATTTGGAATATTTTTCTGTTGAGCATAATTAAACGCTAACTGCCTCAGTTGTCGGGGCGTTACGCCGTAAAACAATTTTGCGAGTGTCAGAATATAGTGGGTTAATTCAGCTTCCACTTCTGCTGTAAAAATCGCCTTTCTACCGAGATGGGGGATTTTTAGTTGATTTAGAGAAAGCTTTTTTCTGAGTGTTGATTCAGGAATACCAAAAGACCTCCCAACTTCTCGTATTTTCCTCCCATCGTTTCTAATTGCATTCAGTGCAGTCTCCAGCAATTCATCACTATATTGATGGATTTCAGTCTTTCGAACGTAATTTCGTGGCATCTGAAAATAAAAGACGGATTTTAGTACCCAAAAACGATAACAATATTGCTTCATATTTAATTGATTAGTGGGTAACCGTGCGCATTTTCGCGCACGGTTACCCCACTATGGTTTAAAAACGTAATTACATCATCCTACAAAAATTACTTATCTAAATGCAACCAAATGGTGTGCATATATGCAGCAGATGATATTCTTTAAGAATATAATTATTTCAAAACAAGTAGTTAAGATTTACGGACTCACCGTCTTAATTTGTGCAAGTGGAAAATAGTAACAAAAACCTCAAATGCACACTTTCGCCTTTCACTAAGTACACAACTCAACTGCAGTGGCAGTTAATGGCTTCAGAGACTCTGTGCATGTTCCCGCTTAAGCCTGTTCGGGAGGGGACTCTCAGTATGCCGCGTAATTTGAATTTTAATGGTGCGCACCGTTCCCCACCGCGCACGGTTCCCCCACTTTCCCCTAATTAACCATTAGATTTAATATTTATTTAAGCCACTCTGCTAAACTGCAAAAAGTTATAAATGGCAATATTATGATCTCACATTCGCTATTTCATCCAACTAGAACTGTTATTGTTCATTTTCTTTTATATAAAATTTCCTGGTTGAAATGAATAAAAAATATTGTTCTTGTAACTCCCATATATAAACTTGTTAAAATGTCACAACAGTGTTCCGCTTTTCGATTTAATATTGATTGATGGTATAACAGCTTCTAAAGTTCTTTTTTATTTTGTTTCAGGTTCTATGGTACAGAGACACGATGCAACTAGACACTACCGAAAGAAGAATAATGGAGTCACGCGGCTCTCGGCATACACTCGTGATTCGTAAAGTGCACAGATCAGACTTCGGAAATTACACTTGCGTGGCAGATAATCAACTGGGAAAAACAAGAAAAAGTGTTCAATTAACCGGTAAGATTTATAGTAGCCGTATTTAAAAAAAAGGCGGGTGGAATAAACAACGAAATCATTTTAATACTTTTTGCTTGATATAAAAAATCAGTTCCGGCAGATTTATAGCTTATTTAATTTTAGCAGCGCGCCATAAATATTCTTGAAGAGGATATTCGAGTGTTTATCGAAGCCTGTATATAATAAATTTGGCTTTTAAAAGATTATAAATCAGTCCTGGTTAACATGGAAAATAATATACAGTGAAACCTGGGGAAAAATAAAATTTTATAGGTTAAAATAAAATTGCATGGTCGTGAACTAACTTTAGGGTACAGACGAGAACCACGTTAAGAGTTTTTACATTCAAATATGCAGGTTATCCTACAAATGTTGATGTAGTATTTTGAATTAAGAAAGAACTAAAAAAGTGGTATCAACCTCAACAAAATTGTCACAAAAATATGGACTCAAAGTAAAAACATAAAAAGCAATATTGATATCATGGCTCAATATTCACTAGAAAAAATTACACACTGAAATTAAATTACTACAAGTCTTTTAAAATCATACAAGCTAATATTTGGTTTTCAAATATACCATACTTAAATAACAATAAATATTTTATGTGTTATTTTGATGTAACATCTAAAATGATGCAAACTTTAAAACAAGAAAATTAATAATAAAACAAATTCTAGGCATTAAAACATGACTGCTAATATTTTGTAGGTCCTCCTTCATTATCAATGACAGCCTGCCGTCGTCTAGGCATTTAGAGCTTAACACAATTACGGCATCTTTCGTTTATTAGTACTACCAGACTATTTAATTCGCATCTGCTTTCTTCGGTGTATATGCTGGCAATCTCGATTACCATAATCCACTGTCTGGTAGCTTAAAAATGTGTTTGTAATAATCAGGTTATATTCTTGGCACATTTGTATTAGACGCTTTCCTAAACCACAGTTTTCTACACATTTGTCACTTTACCCGTTTTCAATATTTGCATTAAGATTTTCTAATATGATCGCGGTTTCTCTAGTGTTTACTATTTTTAGTGCCGTTTGACATCCTGGTAACATACTTTCTCTTCGTCTGTATTCGCCTTACAAACATACACTTTGATCAAATTCCGTTTTTCCGTACTATGTTACTAACTTTAATAAAATTAATCTTTCTAATATGGTCAAAAATTATTCATCTGCAATATTAGATTTTTTATTAATTGTTACTTTTTTTCTATTATGTTATACATAGGCAACGCGGCAGCGATTAGATAAATACGTTTGTTGTTTCGGCTGTAATTAACCCGATTTATCGAGAGTTACAATGATAAATAAACAATCAAAATTAGTTCGAGTGCAAAACAAAGTTAAAAACTAATCAGTAGTATAAAAAGTGGACTTCTAAAAGATGAGTCAGTGAAATAATTATAAGCAACTAACCAAAATACACCGAAGAGGTTAACTGATAAGCGCAATAAAAAGCAAAACATTCACTAAAGTCTTCACCAATTTTTATGCGACGTTGCCACTATGAGCAATATATCCCAGGCGATAATATTTTAGCTGGTTGTAATAAATAAACGGTAGACATTGTTTTCTCTGAACCGTTGAGGTGGAAGATAGTGCCTGGCGCCGAATAATAAAAAAGTTTTTGGAGAAAGGTAAATATTGGGAGAACGATAGCTCAGTAACGGACGACGAAATAAAACGAAAAATGAGGGAGGATGACATCGAATATGAAGAAAGAATACTAGATAAGATAGAAAAGAATATACCGAGAATAAAAAGCTCTCAACAAACTCACCACGGAATAAACATGAATCAAAACTAGATACCATAATTGAAATGATGAACATGTTGGCATAAAATGCTCATCGAAGATAATAAAAAGTTAAAGAAGGAAAACAAAGACCTAAAACAAGGAAACAAAGAAATCAATGAGGAATTGAAAGAAATCAAGGAGAATATGCAATTTATGGAAAAACAAAGGTGAAAAAACAATGTAGTGTTGAATGGAATATTAATAGATACCTATATGCTTGTACTTGGTCTAATTGGATATCGTTCGCATGGTTCGTTTTTTCGATCTTACATGAGATCTGTAAAGACTAAGTCCTATTAGACTACATCTCTTATGTTTTTTTTTAATTCCAATCGAGTCTGGTCTCGAGATTTGCATAAATTGTTTATTTTTGTCCTATCCACGACAACTCTCTATGCCTTCGTTTTCAAAAAATTTCTCTCAGTTGAAAATTTGAAGTGAGCTAAACGATTAAACCTTACTGTCTCCACCACAAATAAGCTAAGACATAATAAATCAGTTGACAAGTATTTAGATAATTATCAAGAGATATAGCAGCAGATAATTTTCAATAGCAGCAGAGGCACAGTGTGTGAATTAATAAATTATTTGGGAAGAGCATACCTGGTAAATTATAAATGATAAAATCATAAATCAAACTACTTTTTCCTGCCAGTAAATAAATCTTCAAACCCAACTTTTTAGATATATTCTTTATGTATTGCGTTATATTCAAATCGCCTTTCAAAAACACAATCTGTTCATTTGCACACATACTTGTTCTCCTAGAATCGAAACTTCCATAGCCGGTTATGATTATTATCTTCTGCGTTGATTACATCTTCCAAATATGTTGATTTCCTTAGTTTGAATAGAGTTAAAACTTCAATTTTTCTTTACAATTCCATCTTCTCTTGATTGACGTTATTATTATATTTAAATCCTTGGTAATTTCATGTTACCCGTTATGATGTGAACGTTAGTAAATAATTTTATCTCTTAGATTGTGGTATGCAGGAAACGTATATTATATTTTTAAACTGCGCATTTTTTGAGATATAATATTTGCTAAAATATATGATCCCTAATGGTTAACTTCCTAGGTCTAAGTGAAGTTTGAAAGAAATATATCCCAGAGTGGTCCGAACGAACCCAAAATTTTTGTAGTATTTATATCATTATTTTATTTTTTCTTCTTTTCTAATTATTTATTCTAGTTGTTTTTTTTTTAGGTTGAAAAGGGTTTTAAGTATTAGTTATAAAAAAAATCTATATATAATTTTTATATATTTTTAATAAAAACAAAGATACTTAAAAAAGTTAATGACTTTTTACATTTCCATTCTATGACTTCTTAGCCTAATTCGAGCTCTGGCCTCTCTCATTATACCTCTCCACTCGTTACGGTCTTTTACACATACAACTCTCTTTTTACAATGTTTGTTGCATGTTAGTTTCTTGCAAATAAAATATTTTAACCTTAGTTTGCTATCTCTAGCCCTGGGACATAAATAACAACGATATTTTGATGATCTTAATTAATTTACAAACCCGTATCCTGCCTCTATTCCAACACAAATTTTCATTATACCCCGGGTTATATTCGGAATACCGTTACACTCATCTTTTTTTACAAGACGCCTTAAAATAAGTTGTTTATTTAACAAGATACTATAACTTAATTTAAGCAAAAATTAGAGCCTTTTATCTAACTTTTTTTCTTATTCTAGTCTAGAATATATATATAGGTATATATTACGAACGCATAGATCTATACTGTTAAAAAATAACAACCATGGTCACCTTTTAGTTTGTCTATTTTAAGTGTATTACCCAACAGGTTTATCTAATATGTCTACAGCTCCTTTAGTTTTTGTTTATTTTCTGTGTAGGAAAGCCAAATCCTGCAAAATTCAGCAGTGCATCTAGAGGTTCCTGGAAGGATAGCTATAATATAAGCTGGGCAGTCGAATCATTAAGTCCCATAGAAGAGTACAAGCTATTATTTAGGAGGCTACCAGACAGCGGAACATCAGAAGATGGGCATCCACAACCTTTACATCACCAAAGTCAAAGAAAATTCGGTTCTGGCAAGGTAAGATAAAATCATATTAATTTTGGTCTAGGTTAATTAGTTCACGCTAGTCTAGTTGTATACTTTGTTTTATTTTAATCCTTTTTTATTAAAAAATAGAATTTGTCATTAGTTAGATTTTATATCTTGGTATTACCTTTTTTTTCGAAGGTATTCGTTTTTTTCTGTCCATTGTGCTACAGCCAAAATTGAGCTTTATCCTTTTGTAACTTCTTTTTATCTTAAAAAGGTCCGAAGACATATGACCGTACATTATTCTCCCATCTTCATTCCACTTCAACATCTAAAGCTCATCTCAGTGTTCTTTTATTATCTACCCTAACTACATGACCAGCCCATTAACGTCAGCGTAGTCTGAGATATGTGGTTAGTAAAAGAGTTCGGTATTATCAACTGCAAAAACCACTCCAAATTGTTTCTTTTCATTCTCTTTCCAGCTATACAGGATTGTTTGGGTTTTTGTACATTTTATTTAACGTTCTAGCCACTTAGTTTCTTGTATTGCGGCTAGTTGTATTTTAGAAGTTTATTGAGTAGTGATGCTTAAGCTCTATATTTATTTAATATAAAAAAATGTTCCAATAACTGAATGCGTAATCAATATTTTTTGCCTATGTTGTCGACAATATGACTATCTTTTCCGAGAGTGCTTATATCGTAGCCGCATGTTTTTTTTTTCGGAAATAGGTGACTGGCTCATTGCACAAGCCTCCTCCTTTACCCGGGATTGTTATCTACTCAATTTACCCACAAGTGCTATAAATTTAGTTTCGAATATATTACTTTATTTATTAATATATTTTGAAATATTTATATAACTTAAATGCAAATCTTAGCATTCATATTTAAATGACACAGGTTTTTACAAAATACTTCCATAAACTTGATTGGTTAGAATAAATATTTTTTTCTAAGAATTGTCGGTATCATAGTATAAAAACAATATAAAATTCTAAAGCTTACTCTATAATTTAATCTTGTTTTAATGTAATCATTATTAATTTGTTTCCTTTATTGGTTATATTTGCTATTATGGTAATATCAGCTACTCGTCTACTTTCGATATGTATTTTTGGTTTTTTAGCCAATCAACAAGCGTGTCTCTTGCCTCAACTTTTTGACTTTCTATTTTTGACTTGAAAATGAGTTGCAATATTTCCTATGTACGTATTTCGTTTCTATACAATGACTGAAATAGGATATTTTAATTATGTACTAACAAAACAGAACTTTACAACACAAACTGTGAAACTTTAAAAAGTAGTGTGTAATTATTATTAGTTTACATAGATATAAGTTCTACATGAAAAATATTCTTGTTTAATTTTTTTTAAAGTCCAATCTGTAGGTATTTTTTATCTTATATTTATATATAATGTATATGCTTGTAATCATAAAAACTAATTAGGTGTAATTTTTATTGCAATTTATTTTGAGGCAAAATTGTTTTTTAAAAATTTAAATCAAGCAGATGGGGAAGTTTCACGATCGGTCTTTCACTAGTATTTTCGAAAAAGACAGACAGATATTAACCCGGAAGAGCAACTGATGTTCTAGTTAAACGTGATCATTAAACCTTTTCTACACGTGAACCATTTCTTTTACCCTCTTTCGTGTTAATTTAATTCTCTCTTAGGCTACAGCAAAGCGTTAAAAGCTACTCGATGCTCGATATTTATTTTCTGTATCGACTAAGTTTATGGTTGGGATCGTCTTGTTAGATAGCACTAATGAAAGCTGTAATTTCTTGACTTGATTCTTCATAAAAATTTATAAGAAAAAAAATATATTTTGTGATATAACGGAATGAGAAAAATTTTTAGACATTTTTTAATAGTTTATACGATTTAACCCTCTGGCGAACGTATCGATTGATTTTTCGTAAGCAGGCTCGTTACGGAATATACACCAGCATTTTAATTTTTTAGTAGTGTAAAACTTTTGTGTTTATAAGCGTTTTATTAATAAACAGTTATGAAAAATGGTTTCAAAAAATATTTATTAGTACTCTATCATTTTCCCGTTACACTTAAAGCATACAATATTTATGTTACTATGTTTTTGTAGACATGTTTTCCTCACTTTTTTTTAAAAGAGACAAAGTCGCATCCACCCAAAGGTTATTAGCGACATTCCTATAACATTTGTAATAATATTAAATTTAACATTTGTAACAATCAATCATTGTAACAATTAATTACAATTTGTAAACAATTGAACATTTGTAACAATTAATTAAGTTAAATTTTGTGTAACATATTTATACATTTTAAGTAACCTAAAAAATTATCGGGAACTATACTTTTATTGATGAGTGCTTTCAGGTTATTTGGCAAATTGTAAAACTGTCTTTGATTTACATATTTAGGACAGTCTATCAAGAAGTGCTTTATACTGTCTCAGGAGTGCTCATACTTGTAGTGTCTGCGATCTATCACAAAATATTTTAAAGCCAAGCGATCGACTACCGACTACTACAACTAGACTGGAGCCTAGATACTAAAATATGTGGATCTCTAAAAACACTTAATCGTTTTGTAAAATGTTGCGTAATTACTGAGTGCCAACCGTAAGCCTAATGTGAGATATTTGTCGTACCCATTTCGTGTTTTAAATATTGTCATTTTAATTATTCAACTTCTACTTGTCATAATTTAATAAAGACTGACATTAATGCTCTGTCACCGCAGCCTGTTATACAGAAACTCGAGAACAACCGTTAACAGTCGCCAAACGTCGCGCGGTCACATTGTTTCAGAAGCATGTAATATTTCAATCAGGATCTGAATCTTTTGTGATCGACTCCAGAAACTGTGGCGATCGACCGGTCGATCGCGATCGACTGTTTGGGCACCGATGGTCTACTGTATTGCATGTTTCGCATTTTGGAAGTTCATTATTTGAGAAGAGATAGGCGTAAGTATACCTACAGTGTCCAAGTCGTAGACAAGTGATAACAGTTTGGCATCTTCTATTTGTGTCTGTGGACTTCCACGAAAAAATGTTACTTTTAACGGTTCTGAGTTTCGAACTGAGTCATTCTGTTCCCGATCTCACGCACTTAATACCTGATTTTTTAAATAAACTTTTACGGTGATAGCGGTACGCGTACTAGTATCTGCTTCTTCATTCCCTTCTATGCCTATATGAGATGGTATATCTAAAATGAATATTCTATATATCGTGTTGTCAGAAACAAGAGTAAATGACTCTAGTAGTGTTAGACTATGAGGGCTGATATAGATTTGTCTTCTAAAACTAAGGATGTTATTGTACTCAGATATAGAAGCACCAATTTTGAGGAATGTTATGAAGGAGACAGGAACTATGCAGATTTTTTGTAAATCATTGATAAGCGAGTCGTGCGGTATTGAAGGACATACGTCGGAGAGCACAAGTCGTTCCGCTGGTGTAACTAACCTTCTTTCTCTGACAATTTCACCTTGTATTTCTATGTGACCATGATTATTTATAAAATCATCCATTATTTGTTTATTTGATAAATTTATACATATGCGATTATTAGATAATCTAGAAGAGAGGATTATATTTTTCGGTTGAATTATATTTCCAAGTAGGAGAAAATAGTCTTGAAGTTTGGTGTTTTCTAAGGCACTAAAGATAATTGCTTGGGACTTTAAAGGAAATTGCACTCTCGACGCTGCCAAAGAGTATGACTGTGATGCGTTTATAGACTTTGATGGTCTTGTATTGTAGAACTAACTGTTGTGTGATTCCATATTTGAATTAATTTGATAAACGTTAATTGAAAAGTAAGACCGACCCTGTGCTAAAATAAGTATATTGGTATTTACTGGAAGCCGTTATTTTGCTGGTAAAACTGGATATTGACAATAATAACAAATAATTGCAATTTACTGACTTTAATGCCAATTTAACTGGATATTATGTAATATGAATCATTTCGGCCTATTCCAGCCTCATTATACACTTCATCATTATACACTTGGGCTGATACCTGTTTTCCACACTGTTTCCACAAAAACTTAGTTTTATTATTTTATTGTATGCCAAAGATATAATATACTCCTGGTTTTGCAATTTCTCTAGAAGTTTGATCGTTGTGTATGTTTTTCAAAAAAAATCCTGATGGTCTTTGCATGGGTGATAGTTCTTTCAAATGGCTCTTTATGAGTTGTAAAGATAGATTAAAAACTTAACTTCTCGTATGTTTTAAAAACTCTCAATGATCCTAACTTAAACTTTAAACTTAAAAATCAGCTTCTAGACAAGGCGAAAAGCTCGTGTTCGTTCGGAAAATATTCTTATTAGAGTTTTTTACATATTCACTTATTTGAGATACTCCAAAGTAAGGGTCAATAGATCGCCCAGTCGAAAAGTTGTTTTTGAAGTTAAACAAATTTTTTAAACAATTTTTTTTAACAAATTGTAACAATTAATTTTTTTATCTCAAATAATTTTTTTATTTTGTTTTTATCACTGTAAAGAAAAAAAAAAGACTGATGTAAGTTTTCTGTAAAGTTGATCATTTTTTAGTAAAAATAATTTAAAATTGTAAAAACGCAAAATTACGATCTCTAGATTCCTGTCTTGAATGGTTTGGCATCACAAAGGGTATACATTTTAATGTCGTATTATACGGGTTTGTCAGTAATGTATTGGATGAAAGAGCATCTCCTTCTAAAACAATGTAACATCTTGACAGTTGTCACAAACTCACAACATTAAAATTATATATACAATTTCTAACCCCTAACGCCAGAGGTTATGACAAACGAAGAAATAAATATTAAGGAGGAAGAGGTAAAGTAAGCATTAAGGAAATTAAAAAATAGAAAATCACCAGGAGAAAACAGAATACCGAACGAACTCCCAAAGTACGGAGGACCAGATGTAACCAAACAACTATGAAAACTAATCCAAAAATAATAAAACTGAACAAAATTTCTCAAGAATGGAGATCAAGCATCCTAATACCTCTCTTCAAAGAGAAAAACAAATCAGAACCGAAAATTACG